ATGGGGTGAACTGTCTGTGGCAATGATACAAGAGAAGGTTATCCATCCCAAGTCAGACCATTGGTCCATCTAGCTTAGTATTGTCTTCAACCAAGGTTTCCAACATGGTGCCATCCTGATGCTGATTGACAGCTTATCCCACCACCCCTGACTATTGGTCCTACTAGCTGGGACTGCTAGGAGTTGGGAGTCCAATAACAACTGGAAGCCACCATTTTGGCTACTCCTAATGTACACAGCTTTCCAGAGTTCAGGCAGGATTATTTCTTAGCTCCACCTGGAGGTGCTGGGGGTTGAACCTAGGTTGTTTTGCATGCATGCAAAACATGTATTTCATCACTCAACTATAGACTGTATATTCCAACGACAGACAGGATTTTTGGTATTAGCATTATTCTGAAACAGTAGGGCTACAACTCTGTATCCACGTAGCTGGTAGCAAACCCTCCTGAACACAGTGGGGCTTACTTCCATATCCACATTGTGCTGTAAGTAACTGTACACATACAGTCATGTCTTTTTCATTTTCAATAATAATTTTTAATATATTTGTAAGGTTGGTAAAAAACATAAGAAGCTATAGCACTTGGTAGATCTGTGCATTTGGCACGAGTTTCAATGAAACCCTTTTTTCTTCCTTGGTTGACTGTGACACATGCAGTGCTGGCTTTTGTTCTTGCTGTAACTTTTCAAGAGCCCAGGAAGAGATAAGTACAGAATTATAAAGTAGGTAGCTCATAATCTAGGTAAATATTGAAAAAAAAGTTGCATTGTTTTCTCTCCTTTTTTGTACGCAGAGATGGCATTTTTGTTTTCTTACTGTCAAAGATTTCATAAGGCAATAATGAATGCTTCCCAAAATTACTACTTTTGATCCAAAGGAATTAAACAAGAACACATTTGGCTCCATCCTTCTATTATTAAAATTTTAATTGTGACACTTCCTCGGATGGAATAAAAGCGAGTTTTCTGGATGAGAGAAGAGGTGTTCTAATACTCTATTACAAAACTAGAGGAGCCGTTTTTGAAGGAAACCAAACGAGTAAATTTTCTTCTTCCCTCCCTCTTAATGTGGAAAACTTTGTATTCATGTCATTGCCATTGTTGTATGAGGCAAGAAGCGGAAGGGAGATAGAAATCGGAAGGTGGCAATGCAACTATGACTATGGTATTTATGGACCTAGGAGCCCATCAGAAAGTAATTTTACCCTATGATTTTATCTAATTACTCTCACTTATCAACATTGCCCATAATTCCTAGCTCTCATTCCTGGTCTTTCTGCTGTGCATCACACACACACACACACACACACACACACACACACGCGCACACAGCGAGAGACACACTTTCTCTCTTACAGCTTTATTTCAAGGCCTCATTGCAGTCAATCATTTTAGCAAGAGCATTTATAATATTTAAGGAGATTGTTTCCATATGATGAATATTCAAAGTGAAATACTGGTTCTTATTATGGAGAAGTAATGAAGAACACATCAACATGATGAACCAATCTACTCAATGTAATAGACACAGAGTAAAGTGATACCCTGTGCAGTTTAAGCAAATAAATAAGAAAAATTGCAGAGAAAAATTACTAACAGAGGCACTGTTAATTTTATGTGTTAAAGCACACAACCAATAGCTTTGTGAGGTTATGAGGTTGCTTTTTCAATGTTGTTTTTTTGATATTGTATGTAGCTCCTTTAAGAAACTTAGGACTTGTTTGCATGCTGTTTTTCATGGGAGTTTTACCAGAAAATACCCCCATCCATGCACACGTACACACTTCATTCTTGAATATTTCCTAGAGAAAATAGTCATGCTCTTCTCTGCCATGTTTTGTGGGAGAAGAATGCCACATCAGCTTACAGTCAAGATGTTTGGAGAGAAGATCACAGAAAATTAATTGTCTCCGTACCTCAGTGTGGTGTTTTACTTCTGTGGTAACTGTTTCTAACTTCAGGGGAAAAAACAGAAGCTTCCTCAAATATGCAGTAAATAACGTGGACTCTTTTCTCAAGGTTAATGAAACGGTTACCTTCATATAAAATCCATTGACTTTATTTTAGGAATCAGCATTTAGGATTTGTTCTTTTAGAGAAAACTGTTGCAATGAATACAAATTCTGGACCCATCAGCGCTATACCGGCTACAGCAGACAGAAATCCTCTCATCACCTGAAGCGTATTACCTGGGCACTGTGCAGAAAATTGAGAGTAGAATCCCAGCCCATCTGCTGATTTGAAGATTCTAGCTCACATTCCGAAATAACAACCTTGGGTCTAGTTTACTAAGAAACTACAAATTAGTCATGGAAAATTGGAGCTACCAAAAGAGAATTAGTTCTACAGTGCTAGGTAAATGCAAATCAACCCCTTTAATGCAGGTTTCACTGGCACATCTAACATCTGATACAATTTGATCTTCTTTTAAAACAGAGCTAATTGGGAGGAAATTTTGGCTCATAAAAGAGAATGAAACTGTTGATTCTCCCTGAAGCTTTTGACCAGATATCTCATTTGGGAACTATGTGGGCAGTAATAGCAGGCACATAGCCATAAACATGTATTTCTGATTAGGTAGTGTGATGGTTAGGGGTACGTAAGGGCCCAATGTCCAATTGGGTTCAAACTAAAACAAATTAGAAATATAACAGATGCTTTACAAAGGGTATTGTATGCTCAGTGGTACAGTGGCCATAATGGAGAGGTGTTTCATACATTTTGTCAGGACATTATTTAGCACCTTGCTTTGCTTTTGTGTACTTTATTAACAAGGAAAAAAGGTAAGGTTTGCATAGATTTGCATGAATAAAATGGCTGAAGCATCAGCTATAGTCATGTGTTTGTGTTGCTATCCTCCTGGTTGTCCATCAGGCCTCATTGTCCCTGGAATAGTTAGATGGGAATTTGCAGTCTGATTGTCTTCTAGTCTTGGAGGACTTTATTGTCTATAAGCAATGAGTCACCCTTATAGTTGTACATTGCAGTCTGTTCATAGAAAGTGGGGGAATTAATGGCAGCCAGATCAATTTGCTGCATGATTTTTGTCACTCATTGAAGACTGCATGAGACAAGATGTCTGTTTCAAAGAGATGTGAGTGTGTAAGACTGGCTTTGCACAAGCAATTTCTATGCCAAAGGGCTGCGGCTTTTGGTATATGTGATAATTCCCAGTGTGAAGTCAAGTGCACATTTGAGGTGCTTCCAGCAATATTCTTAAAGTAACACACCATCCAAAAGCAGTCACAGTGAAGCTATGAGAGCTGCAAGTATAAAATACTTTTTAAATTAGGTACATTTTGGACTGGATATATTAGCCTTCCCTGCACTATTTTAATACCATAGGTCTGGCAGTGCTGTTCACAACTGCTGTGCACAAATACCATCAATCTGTTATGCTTCTTTATCCTTGTCATCATCCTCATCCTGTGAGGGTTTTTGGGGGGGAAGTAAGAAACACACCCTGGGCAAGCAGCTGTAATGGGAATTGCTGTGCCACTTGTACAAAATGTTTACAGCAGTGCTTACATTAGTTAACCACCTTCCATTTTGAAAACAATAACAAGAAAGATATATGGATCTTCAGAGACTGTGTTGTAGAGCTTCAAATTAACACAGTTCCTTTTTATAAATGTCAGCAGTGGGATAGAAGGAATCAGTCTAGCTGGGCAACATTTGAAATGTCATTTTCTAAATTTACAATTGGCTCACACTTACTTGTAGACTTTAAAGGCTATTCCTCTGGTGCTCATTCAGTGGAATGTCGCTGCTTGGAATTTGCTGAAAAGGGAGTGTGCAGAAAGACAAGGAGAAACCACTAGTAAATGTTACTAGCTTCTCAAAGAAAAGAAAAGAGAAAATTGACCTTAAAAAGAAAAATGTGGCGTATGACCAGCATATGTCTTTCAACATATGGGGTTAATTTAACAGAGGTCTCTGACTGTGACATATGCAGAAGTGCAAAAATGCAGTTCCATTCAGTAGAGATTCCTGTTTATGGTTATTACTTTGTCAAAATTAAAATAAATAAAGAAGAAGAAAAAGAAACTGGGATGGGTAAGGGCAGGTTTGTATGGAGCCTATCCTGTACTCTCTCATATTTATGCCAACTGAGGCATATGACTGGAATCCAACATTCTGTGAGCTGGACTTCTGTTCATGTAGTGGATCTTCAACTTCCACTAGTCCCCTGCACACCCCGCAAAATCTTACCCTTTGGAGAATATTTAAAGGGCTCATGAGGAGGGTCAAGGGGTGGAGAGAGGAGAAGAAAGTAAAGTCCCATTGTACAAGTGGACATTCTTCTGCTCATGCAGGTACATCCCTGTGTTCTCCCCTCAATTTTAAATGCTATACTAACCTTATATTCAGAACAGCACCTTCTTTTGGATGTCAAATGCAAGTTCCCTGAGATCGAGGACTGATGACAGAAGACAAGCTTATGTTACACACACATTCTTGTAGATCAGTTTGTTTGTGACTAAGAATTTGAGTTCTGACCCTTGTAGTGTTAACTGGAGAGGAGCTTTTTTCCAGGTAAATGTGCTCATTGATGCTAAATGGGGTGCTGAATAAAGCAAGCACAGCTCTCAAAGAGCTACGTATCTTGCCTGTGTTGTGGTTGGCAGTCTGCATCCGCCTGTCAGCTTAAGCTGCTTTTCTCTTCCCTCGCAGAAACAGCAGCAATCGATATGCATGAATACCTTGGTTTGTTTTTTTCCTGGAGTTCCTAATTCAGCAGGATGTTTAAGCACATGCCTAATTTGAAGTCTTCGGGAGGTTAATTCTGTTGACTAATCATGTCTTTAAACCTTATGCATATGGTTAAATACTTTGTTAAGGAGTTGTTCTGGTGGAATGAGAGGAAGGAGGAGGAAATAAAATCATCAGGGCATCATGCATATTTGTGTATGTGGCAGTGATTCTTGGTCTTTGTGAACCTGTTTTGACAAGGCAAGAAAGGAGCTCTGAAGTGTATTGAGTCATGTATAGGGAAGGGCCATGGCTTAGTGGTAGAGCATCTGCCTTTTCTGCAAAAAGTTCCTGGTTCAATTCCTATCATTTCTAGGTAGAGCTAGGAGGAACTGCTATCTGAAATCTGTGCTGCAAGTCACTGTATACATTGATGAACCAAAGGCCTGATTCAATATAAGGCAGTTTTCTGCGTTCTGCAATGTCAGTCACATAGAACCAGCAGTTGAAGTACTTCCATGATGTGTTTCTGAGATCAATTAGGGAAAACTAGCTGAATCCAAGGGACAACAAGAACAGGGGAAGTCCCTCCCAAGGCTAGAACTGGGGAATGCGAACAGGAGAAGAATGGCACCTGTGTAAAAGATGACATTATATATTGTTTCCTAAACCCTTTTTCAAGGAAAAATAAATCCACTACAGCCATAAAACAAAACAAAAAGACAAGCCCTCCTTCCTGATTAGACCTGCTCATAACCTCTTCTGAGAGTTCCCCTTCTAAAGAATCAGAAGCAAATGAGCTTGTCTTTTAGGGCACAGCTGCTGCTGCTGCTGCTATTTTCCTTTTTGCATATTTTGTCAGCTGTCTTGACCACCTCCCCCAGCTTATTACTTCTAAGAGGCAGTTGTGGAACAGAAAGCAACAAGCAAAGTAGGAACAAATGGCTCTGAGTCTTAAGAAGAATCCAACATTTCAATATCCTTTGTTTGCTGACCTTACACAGTGGTCTTTTTGGCAAGTGGTGCTGGAGAGAGGAGTGGAAATTCTATGGGGGCACAGTCTCCACCAAACACTAAACTACACTGTGAGCTAAGGACTGAGTCCAGTAATTCCTGTAGTACTGTTGTACTGGTAAGTTCAGACTGAACACAGTAACCTCATGTTACTGACACAATTTCACCTAGAATTCAGGGCATCAGAAAGAAGATCTGACCTGAATTATCTATGTCGATGTTTGGTACACATTCAGGGCAGTATGGTGTTAAGCCGAAAACAAAAATCAGGCTTCCCCTTCAACAAAATATGCTTCAAAAATGTTAGCAAATTGGATCTTATGACTGTCATGTTTATGTGATACCTCCCAGGGTCAAGGGGTGAAGTTAAATACTGTTGATTATTATACTCTATATACTCTGTATATTATATTCACAGATTCAAAGTCCAAGCATTCCCTGTGATGAAAAAAATAACACATGAAATTCTAATGCATAGAAAACCATAGGTGAGATTGACACTTACGAATGTGCAATTCTCAACGAAGATGAAAGGGGAGGAGGGCTTGGGGGAATGATAGTGGAAACCAAGCCATATATCTTTAGATTTTCTTAAGAAGCACACACCTCACATGTGCAGTACAAAAGATGCAGCCTAGTGCAGGAATAACTGGAAGGAACAGGCACTTGAATATAGAAAGAATATAAAATATGAACCCAGACTACATTAAACTCAAGCAAGTTAATCAATAGGTTTTTTTTAAAACCTGGCAAGGCTCTGAAAGAATAAACCCAGAAAACTGTGAACATGGAATCTCTGCTCTTGTATATTAATGCATGTATCTTACATCTATATTTCAGAATTTCCCAGCCTGATGCCCTTCAGATTTTTTGAGACTACAACTCCCATCAGCCCCAGCCAACATGGCCAATGGTCAGGCATAATGGGAGTTGTATTTTGAAACATCTGGAGGGCGCCAGGCTGGGGAAGGCTGCTATTCTGCCTTGTAACATATGTTGGGAGAAAATGAGATATATGCCCTCTTCAAATTAACCAGGCACTACCTTAAGTAATGCGTGCTCCACATTGTTATATTCAGCTGTTTTTAATAGGCTTGTCAAGGTCATGTTTCTCATCTGAAATGAGGGTTTGGCATGATTTTCGTCCCCGAAGTGAAATGGAGCTGATCCCAGGATTTAGCAGAAGCAAAGTGCCTTGACAGATTAAGAAGTGCTACATATTTAGGTGACTGAAAGCCAGTGCAAGCTACCAGTCTTTCATTAGTCTCTTGTCAGAGTCGTGGTGGGGGATGGAGGAAGAAAGGCATTGCAGAAGAAGCCAACAGCTTAATCTTCTCAATTTATGTTAAAAATAAAGATAAAAGGACAAGCTTCTTGACATAAGTCAGGAGTTATGATCCCGGATGGTAGAGAGTGTCATTACATAAGCTGTTTTCCTCATATATATTTTTATCTTGCCTGCTGAAGCTGCCTTTTGGGCCTATGGGTGATAGTGTAGGAGTTGTTGTGTGGCTCAGTCAGTCTCCAGAGACAGCAATCAAAAGAGTCTACCAAATTTTTTCTAGAGTACATTGTGTGGAACTGCATTAATAAAGAGCTATGGTTGGCAAATGCATCTGAATTGAAGAATATATGGCTGTGACTTAACTAGCTGCTAGTTTTGTGTTTTCTAGGAACTCCAGAAATTAAAGTGTATGTTTGTATGTGTGTGTGTCCTGTACACCTATGACATGATACAGAACTGGTCAGTAAGCATTATATCCCAACCACATTATATTTTGTAGCTTTGATGAAGATAGGAATGTTGGTAAAGGTAAAGGGACCCCTGACCATTAGGTCCAGTTGTGGCCGACTCTGGGGTTGCGGCGCTCATCTCACTTTATTAGCCAAGGGAGCTGGCGTTTGTCCGCAGACGGCTTCTGGGTCATGTGGCCAGCATGACTAAGCTGCTTCTAGCGAACCAGAGCAGTGCACGGAAACGCCATTTTCCTTCCCGCTGGAGCAGTACCTATTTATCTACTTGCACTTTGATGTGCTTTTGAACTGCTAGGTTGGCAGGAGCAGGGACCGAGCAACGGGAGCTCACCCCGTCACGGTGATTTGAACCGCCGACCTTCTGATAGGCAAGTCCTAGGCTCTGTGGTTACTTAATTATAATTACTTTTTTGAATTGGCAAGTGATTGGGCAAAGCCACAAACTGTGGCTTATATGACTGGGCATTTAAGTCCCTGTGTCAGTGGGAGATGAGCCATTGGCCTGGTTTGTGCATCATACTAAAGACGTGGTTTATAACAAACCACAAGCTGTTCCACAGACAATTAAACAAAACATGACTCTCTCTTTTTCAAACGTTTATTTAGTTTTCCAGCTACTCTTGTCATGTGCCTTTGTAACTGGTTGAATGTTTGGGATGTGGTGGCCAAACTAACCATGATTAAGGAAAAGTGCTGGGTTCACATGTGACACCAAACCATAGTTAAAACAAAGCAAGCCATTAACAATACATGACTTCAGATTATAGTTTGTTGGCAATAAGCAAATGATAGTTAAGCCACTGAGCAGGATTTGGATATCATAGTGAGCCATGGTTTAATAAACTATAGTTTAATAAACAGAGACTTAGTATTATGTGTGAACCAGGCTGTTTTCTTGCATTGGCACAAGGAACTCACTCCTAGCCAAGAATTAACACTGACACGAGTGCTGTTTCCCTTCCTCCAGTACAACAAAGTTGTGGATTATAAATAATTTAAATGGTCCAGATTAAAAGCATGCCAAGTGCCTGTATATGTGGGGGAAGATCACTGTGTGTGAGCTTCAGTTTACAGACATTCAGCTTCATCCTGTGTACTGTTCTGAATCTGTACAGCTGGGGAGATGCATTTATTTTATGGAAATATTTCTCCACATTTTTGTATTTTACATCCAGAGAAGCTGCTTGCAGGATGCTAAACTGTATTATATTATGTCAAATACCATTCAAGGTCTTGGAGGTTCTTGTAATAAATTATGAGGAAGGGCTCGACTTGTGAAATGTCAAGTCACAGTAAAGTGTTGCATCTGAATAACGTCTCATTGATTATCCATGACCTGACACGCTGTCTAGCAGCTTTTGCATTTCAAAAACCTCTTTGTTTTCTGAATATACCAGCCATTTTTGGTTACTCACACACAGAGGGCAGGGGAACACATTTCCTCTTCTTTTTCCTTTTAAAGGAATACAAGCCAATCTGACCGAAAGTCATTGTGAGTATTGGAGGGAAGTAATGTATTTTGGGGAGCACAGATCTTTGAACTGTAGCACGTGCTGGGTTTCTATTCATAGAGCCTGTACCTGTCCCATATATTGTTCTATATTTGGAATAATATGCTATATTAATGTATTAGATTCTATGGGCTTCTGCCCAGTCATAGGTCTTTGGTCAGAATTTACATACCAGGGAAAGCTGCAGAGAGAAACTGACATTGTGCCTGTTATTACTTGTCGGATAATATCATCCATTTGGCTTCCCTTTTTCATTACATAGTCATGACCCGGAAGCTGTATGCTGGCTTCCTCAGCCAATAAAGCGAGATGAGCGCCGCAATCCCAGAGTCGTCCGCGACTGGACCTAATGGTCAGGGGTCCCTTTACCTTTACTGATTTATGAGATGTTTTTGTAAATATCCCCCACTTTAATATGATGTACGAGTAACACTGTCTTAGCAAGGATTAAGTTTACTCTTACTATATGTACTACCAGAGCCATAGCTAGGTAGTACAGAACTGTCCAGATTGCGCCCCCTAGCCCTGAACAAATTAGCTCTTCTTTCTGCCTTTCCTCCAACTCTCCCCCCATTCAATTCACCCTCTACTGTATTTAAAACAATTTATTATGAGGCAATAATCAATGTTTATATTTATGGGTTATGTCCCACCTCACCACCCCCTAGCTATGGCCCTATGTAAAGTAAACAAAATTAAAATAAAGGCACAAGTAAAGCATCTTATTGACTGCTTAGTACACAAGATATGGACTGCTTCATTTAAATGTTACACCTTTCAGTCTAACATTTTCAAGGCGAGCTACAAACATCCTTTTTAAAAGTCATGAAAATTAGTTTAAATAAACAATATTTCACAACAACATTTAGAACCCACTGAATCAGTAAAAGCTGCAAGTGCCAATAGATCTGCAGTGTGAAAACACGGTTTCCAGCTTTGCAGGCGTTTGCGGCTGTTCAATTTTTTAGGATTGAAGTTCTAATGCTTTGCACACTGAATAATCAGGCCACATGCTAAACCTGGCAGTGTTTTGGACAACCTGTGCCAGAATTTGGCTATTGTTAAAGACTGGCCAGATAGCAGACTGACTTTGTGTAGTTAGATA